CTATGCGTCAAGGAAAACGCAATTGTGAATCCCACATGGCAATTCTAATACAAAGGTCCTGATTCTCAAAATGAGCTTTTTAAAGTTATTCAGTCATTTAAAAAGTTTTACGTCGATAGCATAGTGTAAAACTAAGTTAGGTTATCTAAATCACCTCTTTAATTTTATAGATAATGTCATTGAGAGCAATAGAGGTTAAAAAACTTACCTAAAGTTATACGACTAATAAATAGTGGAACTAAAGTTAAATTAACAGATTTCTAATTCCTAATTCACTGGTCTTTTACCTATGTATGGTGCTTGCTTCTTTCTGTCTCTTTTTTAATCATGTACCAGAAAGATGTTTCTCCTCTTTTATCGATTCATCTCTTTGGAATGTATGTGTCTCTGTATCCCTGGGAAGGTGAAACTAGCACATACAGAAAGTAGAATTAAATGCAGGAACACAGAAAGTGGCCATGCTTCATTAAGAGCAAATGGAGTAAACCTATATGTAGCAGAGCAGCGATTTTGCCATAGCTATCTGATTTTCCATCCTACAGAATCTGTGTATTCCTTGCTCATGTCTCATTAAAAGTTGCTGCTGGTTTGCTGGGGTAATTTTAAAAGTTTGGAAGACGAGCTAAAGTTATTGTCCTACACACGAGGATTTAATTGCACTTGAGGTTCGTTGACCTATTTACTTTCCTCAAACATTTTGCGCCTATGATAATGAGAACTTGAAATAGACCCTAGTCAGTAGGAAAGACAGCATCATCTGCTTTTCAATTAAATTATCCAGCTCAACAATTTCTTATTTACACCAATGCTACAACCAGATGGAGGGGAGGACCTCTCACATCTATAGTTGACACTTTATTTTCTTTTCCAGATTCTAAGCTCTTACGATTTTCCTCATTTCAATCTGCTGGAGGAAAATGTTCATTTTCTTATTTGAGAGACATAATTTTCTAGTAGGAGTAAAATATAAAACCTTACTAAAGTAGACATCATTCTAAATGTTGTTTTTGAAACAAGCAATGTTAAACATTTCATTATGACTGCTTTTCAGAGCAACTGAAATGCCTAATATACACATTGCATTTTATCCATGCTATAAGCAAGGAAATAAAACTATAAATGCAATGTTTTGTTTTCAAAATATACAGTTTAGAATCATGCAATTTTTTTGCTAACAGAGATAATGCATTTTTTCATTGTTAAATTAGTATAGGCCAGAGTGAGAACCAAATTCTCATAAAAGTCTTATCTTTGTAATGTTAATATTGTGGTACCTGCTAACCACCAGATGTGAGTGCCATAGCACCATCTTGTTTAGATTAAGGGCTCCTTAACTGGCTTTCATGTTGTGGCTCAAAAATGAAGGTACATGCTAAGCAAAGAACTCTAAATTCCAGTCAAATAAAAAACCTATATCCTCTTATTTACCAAAAACTTGAACAAAAGGGAAATCAAAGAAAAAGAAGAATTTAAATAAAGGAGGACCCAAGAAAACACCTTTAGTGAGACTCACTTGAGAAGGCTTAATTTAGACTCAGATACTTTCTGGAACTTATTCTAGACTCCTCGCAGGATGCTAAGAGAGACTGTGGTATCTCAGGAAGTATGACTTCAACGAAAGCTCAAAGAAACTGCCCTTCCTATCCTCAGATAGAATGTTTAGGCCCATTCAAACAGACATGAAGGAAGAGGCAGAACAATGTAGAACTGCTGGTATAACTTAGCTTCAGATTCTTAACTTCATAAAGGATCTCAGTGGGTCTGAAGGCTCTCTAGATTTCTCAAGCCAATTCCATGACCAGTACAGTCTTATAGATATTCCAAATCCCATGTGCCTCCAATATAGCATCGACTTTGGTGCTACAAGCTGCCCTACTTTAACAATAAATGATATAAACCCCATATCTTTGGGACATCAAGATGGCGTGCTCTTTCATTATTGACTATTCTTTGAATGTCCAAGTCGTTGGGGCTCATTAGGAGGAACTCCAATTAATGTGTGCAATTAAAAGAAACCAGCTAGACAATTAATGTGTGCAATTAAAAGAAACCAGCTACACAAGAGCAAACAAATTCTATGAAACCTCCATCTGATCAAAAGATAGCCTTCACAATGGTTCCTCAACAGTCTATCCAGCAGCAGTCACCCAGGAGACATAACCCTCTTCATCCTATAATAATAGCAATAGGTTTAAAGGGCATCAGGCAAAAGTCTCCTAGCCCTCAATGGTGTCAAAATTTTGATTTCTTCCAGGGACTTCATCTTCTAATCTGAGACTGACTGACTGCCTATACATACACATACTGACTACATATACCGACTGTATATACATACTGTACTGGCAATATACACACTATACTCACTATACATACACACCCTGACTATAACCGACTATATATGCACAAACAAATACACACGCACATATATATTCATTATAACTTAGATATATAGAAAGATTTATGAAGTTGTATTAGATATTTATCATATTTTCCTGCCCTACATCAAATCCCTCTTATTCACATAATAGCAGTTGGGGATATCTTGTCTTTCCCCATTCTCAGTTCATATAAGTGGATCTACCCCTGGCTCTGAGCTTCCATATGCCTCAGGTCTTGTCCATTAGAGCATAACCCCTGATGACCAGAGGGATTTAATTTAGTAATGAACATACAACCCAAGCTACAGGGCCAAAGAAACTCAATCCCAGGGAAATTTAATTATAATTTTAGAAAAGAAAAAATTTTGCTTTTAAAAGTAGGGAAAGTGGCAATGGAGGAAAGTGGCTGGTTGACCTGCCTGAAATGAAGCTGATGCAGAAGGAAGGGGGAAAAATAAAAGCCGAGAAGTAAAGATAAACTAAACTTTGAGGACTTTGTTTTAGCTTTAAAATACAGCTCTGCCGGAAGACTGACCTATGCCTAGAATTTTCTATTATATGAGTCAGCAAACTCTTTTTTTTACCCTTTAAGTCATTTCATATTACATACAATGAAGAGTCCTCACTACGTAATTTTATTAAACCCCTTTGGCTTCATTCAAGCCTTAATTTTCAGGTGAATCATAGTGCAAGCTTTTCGAAGAAAGCTAACTTTATTAATGAGTATCTTGCAAATGGGTACACACAGACATACATCCTAAGTGTGGGTAATTTATCTTTCTTCCCAAGAAAGAAATGGAGTAATAAATATGAATATCAGTTAGAGAATTGGATTTTTTAATATCTTAAATTCAACCGAAAAGGTTACTTTGAAACAGATCTGAAAATTTTCAAAATTGTGTTAAAATTTTTGATATCAAGCCATAGAATATCTTTCTGATAATAATAAGGTATGTCTGAATTTTGGTAGAAAAACATAAAAAATCAGAAGACTATACATTAAACAATAACAGCTTTATTCAAAACATGTAAGACCTCCACAGGGGCTGTTTTGCTTTATAGTATGACAAGTGCTACCTTGTTGGCATTCCAAAGTGAATGGTGATGTGGAGAAAAGCAATCCTCTCCATTCTAAAAAGGAAAATATTTGCATCTACTCTAATAATTTTCTGTCAGGTTAAGAAAAAGGACTGTTCTCATTCTTTGTGTTCTCTCCAAAGCAGGCATAAAATATGTAGGAAATGAAAAAAAAAAAAAAAATGTTTAGAAGAGCTCGTTTTCATGCACTACAGTTCTAACCTTGTCTCCAAGAGCCAAGGTTGATGCATCCCATGGCAAATTAAATCTAAGATGTATGCAGTAATGAAAAGGGTAGCGTTCCATGAAAAAATTCCACTTTTCAGTTAAAGTAGCTAGGGTTTATTAAATATGCAAAAATTACAATGTCAATATAACTGCACAAATTAGGGTTTTCTTTTTGAATGTTTAAGCACTGCACTGTAAAGAATGAAACAGCTGAAGACTTTCACAGCTTGTTACCTGTATCTTTTTCTCAAAAAACCTGTACTAATAAATAGGCCATACACTTCCCAAAGATAAGGGATTGTTGTTCATATCCCAGCGAGCAGTTTACCGAATATATTTGAACAAATTGTCTTTGTTCAACGACCCTGACTAATTCTCCTGCTAGTTGGATCAGTGTTACAAACCTTGGTACCCTGTGATTCATAAGCATTCACATTTTTGAGCCGGTATATCCTCTCCATGCAGCTGATCATTGAGAACAAAGATGTTTTATATTAGAATAACATGTACCTTATTTTTTAAAACTGAGATCTGCAAAGGCTTAAGGAAGCTGAGGCAACAATACAAAAGATCTGAAATAAATATGTATTTGAATACTATACCAATAACTGATTTTTTTCTTCTTAAATAGCTTTACTTTTTCTGATGAGAATAGTAAATAAGTTTCACTAGGAAAATGCAGGAAACACAGAAAAATATACAGATTAAAAATCACCTGTAATTCCTACAGGTGATTTTGAGAATTAATTTTGGAATAAATTCCAAAAATATTAAAACTCTAAAAACTTTAAATTCTTCCAAAACTTTTTAAATCTAGGGTGAAGAAATCTTTCTAGGCCTTTTTTTATTGTTCCTTTTTTTCTTCCAAATTTTATTTTAACTTCAGAAGTACATGTGCAGGATGTGCAGGTTTGGTACATAGGTTAATGTGTGCCATGGTGGTTTGCTGCACAGATCATCCCATCACCTAGGTACTAAACCCAGCATCCATTAGCTCTTTTTCCTGATGCTCTCGCTCCTTCCAGCCCTGACCCTCCAACAGGCAAAATATGGAAATAAATAAAGACCCTTTTTTGAAAATTGAGATTATATGCTAAATACTTTTTGTATTCTTTGAGGTATTTTTTTTTTATTTCATGTCAGATAGGTAATGTGCAGACATGGTAACAGAGTTTGAAGGAGGCACATCTCACACATGAGCATGAAAATCCAATCATCATGCTTAGCATCCTTTGTTTTTTATAGTACATGTATCGTGAACATTTATTTACATCATTAATTATAAAATATGATCACTAACAATCTATAATAACTTACCTTTTCATTCAAAAATATTTTTATTGGAAGCTGCCAGGGGACAAGGCGGATGTGCAGCTTCCACTCGGACAGAAAGAACAGTGTGTGGAGACTCACACTATGGACTTTTACTCCAGGAACCTCAGCAGGAGCATACTAGGAAGACTGAAAGAAATAACAGACCCTTTGAAAGAAACAGCAGGCCACTGCAAATCCTGCAAGACAGGCAAAAAACTGAGTTCACAAAGTGTGAAGGGGGAATGTCTCCCTCTAAACGCATCCCCAGTGGGGAACCTGAAAATCCAGTTTATAGGAGAAGGATTTAACCTCACCTGGAGCTGTAATGGATTTACTGTGAAATATAAAAGTAGAAGCAGCAGTGGAAAGAGTATGGTAGGCACTCCCACTCTCCAGCTTGAGCCCAGGGAAGCCATCCCTGACTATATCTCGCAGGAGCCCTCAGGGAAGGCAGCCAACAGAATGTGAGAGGGGTCACAGGGTAAAAGAAGCTTCCAACTGATCTTTGTAATAATTTTGGCTGGGTGCAAACTCTTTTGAGCAGAATCCGGAGGTGAGGGGAACTGCTGCAGGAAGAAGAGGAGTCTAGCAGACAAGGTGGGCAGATGGGCAGGGGCATGGCCTGAAAGCCATGCTGCTTTCTCAGTGGAGAAATTACAGCCTGGGGCTAGCTCTGAGTCCCACTCTGCAGGCTGCTTGGAGATAAACTTGTGGCTGACCGGCCATGCCAACTGTGTGAGAGCTGGGTGAGGCCTCTTGCTACCAGCTTTCCCCCACTTCCCTGGTGACAGAGGCAGCCATAATCTCTCTTCATAATTAACCCCGTTGGCCTGAGAATCACTCCCCATTCCTTGTAGTAGCCATGGCAAGGCCTGCCCAAGGAGAGTCTGCCTAACCCTGCCCCCAGCTGATGATACTTCTCTACTTGTCCTGGTAGATCACAAAAGACAAACTCCTGAGAGCGTTATGACCTTGCCTGTCACCTGAGAAACCCAAATTCTTATCCTCGCAAACTTAGGGCAAGCTTATATTCCCCTTCTACTATCAAGCTAGTGCTCTCTCAAAAGCTCCACCTCCTGGCAGGAGGTCAACCAACTCAGGAACTCAGGACATTACTGCAACTCATGACAAAACACTCCTGCTCCATGGAAGGAGAAAACAACATCTAATTTCACTGCCTGCAACATCCTGGGTAAACAGTGGTCCTACTTTGTCCACTAGACAACTTCACTGATAGCATAACCAGCATTCAAGAAAACCAGCACGCTATCTACACACATATCCACAACCAAGAACTCTCACAGAATCTACTTCGTTCCCTTGCCACCTCCACCAGAGCAGGTGCTGGTATCCATGGCTGGAAGACCTGAAGACAGATCACATCATAGGACTCTTTGCAGACATTCCCCAGCACCAGCCCAGAGCCTGGTAGCCCCACTGGATGGCTATACCCAGAAGAACAATAAAAATCACTGCAGTCTGGCTTGCAGGAAGTCCCATCCTCAGGGGGAGTGTACCATATCAAGAGATCACTCCATAACACAAAAGAATCTGAACAGCAGCCTTTGAGTTCCAGGTTATTCCACTAAAATAGTCTGCCCAAATAAGAGGGAATCAGAAAAATAATTCTGATCTGACAAAACAAGGCTATATAACACCCCCATAAAATCACACTAGCTCTTCAGCAATGGATTCCCACCAAGAAGAAATCTCTAAACTGCCAGATAAAGAATTTGGAAACCTATTAAGCTTCTCAAGAAGATACCAGAGAAAGGTGAAAAATAAAAAAAAAAAAAGAATTAAATACAAGATATGGATTAAAAATGTTTCAGAGAAATAGATACCATAAAGGAAAAAAATCACAACTTCTGCAAATAAAACAAACACTTGGAGAAATACAAAATGTACTAAAAAGTTTCAACCATAAAATCGAACAAGCAGAAGAAAGAACTTCAGAGCTTGAAGATAAGGCTTTTGAATTAACCCTGCAGACAAAGACAATGAAAAAATAATTTTAAAAAATGAAAAAGCCTCCAAGAAATTTGGAATACGTTAAATGGCCAATTCTAAGAAGAATTTATTTTCCTGAGGAAGAAGACAAATCTAAAAGTTTGGAAAACATATTTGAGGGAATAACCAAGTTAAACTTCCCTGGCCTTGCTAGAGATCTAGGCATCCAAATATAGAAGGTCAAAGAACATCTGGCAAATTTATTGCAAAAAGTTCATCACACAAGCACATAGTCATCAGATTATCTAAAGTCAAGACAAAGGAAAGAATCTTAAGAGCTATGAGGCAAAAACATCAGGTAACCTATAAGGGAAGACATAGCGACTAACAGGAGATTTCTTAGCAGAAATCCTACAAGCCAGAAGGGACTAAAGGCCTATCTTTAGCCACCTCAAACAAAATAATTGCCAGGCAAGAATTTTGTATCCAGCAAAACTAAACTGCATAAATGAAGAAGAGATAGTCTTTTTCAGATAAATAAATGCTGAGACAATTTGTCACTACCAAGAAAGCACTACTAGCAATGCTAAAAGGAGTTCTAAACCTTAAAACAGAACCTCAAAATACACCAAAATAGAACATCCTTAAAGCATAAATCTCATAGGGTCTATAAAACAATAACACAATGAAAAAACCAAGGTATTCAGGCAACAACTAGCATGATGAATAAAACAGTACCTCACCTCTCAATTCTAATGTTGAATGTAAACAGCCTAAATGCTCCACTTCAAAGACACAGAATAACAGAATGGATAAAAATCCACCAACCAAGTATCTGCTCTTTTCAGGCGACTCACCTAACACATAAGGACTCACATAAACTTAAGTTAAAGATTAGCAAACGGTATTCCATGAAAATAAAAGCCAAAAGTGAGCAGGAGTGACTATTTCTTATATGAGACAAAACAGACTTTAAAGCAATAACAGTTGGAAAAGACAAAGAGAGACATTATATATTGATAAAAGGATCAGTCACACAGGAAATATCACAATCCTAAATATATATGCACTTAACATGGGAGCTCCCAAATTTATAAAACAATTATTACTAATGAGAAGAGAGAAATGAGAAGGATGACAACACAATAATAGGGGGGACTTCAATACTCCACTGACAGCACTAGACAGGTCATCAATACAGAAAGTCAACAAAGAAACAACGGACTTAAACTATACCCTAGAACAAATGAACTTAACATGTGTTTACAGAATATTCTACCCAACAACTGCAGAATATACATTCTTTTCCTCAGCACATGGCACATTCTCCAAAATAGACAACATGATAGGCCACAAAATGAGTCTCAATAAATTTAAGTAAATCAAAATTATATCAAGTACTCTCTCAGAACACAGTGGAATAAAATTAAAAATTAACTTCAAAAGGAACCTCAAGACTATACAGATACATGGAAGTTAAATAATATGCTCCTGAATGATCTTTGACTCAATAATAAAATTAAGATAGAAATTTAAAAATTATTTGAACTGAACCATAATAGTGACACAGCTTACCAAAACCCTGGAGACACAGGAAAAGCAGTGCTAAGAGAAAAGTTCATAGCATTAAATGTTTACATGAAAAATTCTGAAAGAAAACAATTAGAAAATCTAAGGTCACACCTCAAGGAACTAGAGAAACAGGAACAAACCAAACCCAGACCCAGCAGAAGAAAAGAAATAACAAAGATCAGAGCAGAACTAAATGAAATTGAACATACAAACAAAAGATACAAAAGACAAATGAAACAAAAAGTTGGTGCTTCAAAAAGATAAACAAAATTGACAGACCATTAGCAAGATTAACTAAGAAAAGAAGAGAGAAGATCCAAATAAGCTCAATTAAAAACAAAACAGGATATATTACAACTGATACCACAGAAATTCAAAAGATCATTCAAGGCTACTATGAACACCTTTACATACACAAACTAGAAAATCTAGAGGAGACAGATAAATTCCTGGATATATACAACCTTCCTAGATTAAATCAGGAAGAAATAGAAACTCTGAACAGACCAATAACAAGTAGCAGATTCAAATGATAATAAAAAAATTGCTAACAAAATAAGTCCAGGGCCAGATGGATTCACAGCTGAATTCCATTAAGCATTCAAAGAATTGGTGTCAATCTTACTGAAACTATTCCAAAAGATAAAGAAAGAGGGAATCCTTCCTAAATCATTCTATGAAGCCAATATCACCCCAATACCAAAACCAGGAAAGAACACAGCAAAAAAAAAGAAAGAAAGAAAACTACAGAGCAATATCCCTGTTGAACATAGATGCAAAAATCCTCAACAAAATACTAGTGGACCAAATCCAGCAGCATATCAGAAAGATAATACACCATGATCAAGTAGGTTTCATACCAGAGATAGAAAGATGACTTAACATCCACAAGTCAATAAATGTGACACATCCCATAAATAGAATTAAAAACAAAAATCATATGATCATCTCAATAGATGCAGAAAAAGCATTTGACAAAATCTAGCATCTCTTTATGATTAAAACCCTCAGCAAATTCAGCATAGAAGAGATATACCTCAAGGTAATAAAAGACTTCTATGACAAACCCACAGGCAATATTATACTGAATGGAGAAAATTTCCATTCCCCCTGAGAACTGGAACAAGATAAGAATGCCCCCTTTCACCACTTCTATTCAACATAGTACTGGAAGTCCTACCCAGAGTAATCAGACAAGAGAAAGAAATAAAGGGCATCCAAATTCGTAAAGAGAAAGTAAAACTGTTACTGTTCACCAATTATATGATTATCATACCTAAAAAACCCTAAAGACTCATCCAAAAAGCTCCTAGAGCTGATAAAGGAATTTAGTAAAGTTTCAGGATACAAAATCAATGTACACAAATCAGTAGCATTGCTGTACACCAACAATGACAAAGCTAAGAATCAAATCAAGAACTCAGCCCCTCTTACAACTGCTGAAAAAAATAAAATAAGATACTTAGGAATAAAATAAGATATTAGGAATATACCTAACCAAGGAGGTGAAAGATCTCTACAAGGAAAACTACAAAACACTGATGAAAAAAATCATAGATGACACAAACAAATAGAAACGTATCCCATACTCATGGATGGGTAGAATCAATATTTTGAAAATGATC